CGAACAGCGTGCAGCCGCCCAGCGACAGCTGAACGTGCGTGCAACCGCAGCGGACAGTCGGGTCATCTCTTGAGGCCTTATTCTTCAGGCTTTTCGCCGATTAACCTTGCGATGTCGTCTCTTCTCTTTGCGACAGTCTATTTCCTCTCTCCCCTGTCGTGAAGTCTTGCCGTCGCATCCAAGCTGAGCCGCTCACCTGCAGCCCCAGGTCATACAAACGCGGCCTCGCGCAGCCTCCCGCCAATACCGACCGCAAGAGCACTATAAGAAGAGAAGGCTGAAACGCAGGCAACAACAAGAGGGGCGCTATACGCTAGGCATCATGGTCGACCGCCGGCCACTCATGCAGGAGTCCTCGGACCTCTCTGAGAGCTCAGACAATACGCCCGCCCTGCCTTCGCTCGGCTTCTCCAGCAACTCCCATACCCTTGGGCTTACTACCCCGCCGCCTGCGCGACCGCACTACGCACGGCTCCAGAGCGATACCACCGCCGTCGGTCGCAACACACCAAGCATCGTACAGGAGGAGGACGAGGAGGAAGATATCGCAGACGGCTTCCAGCGCGGCAAGGACAATGGACTAGGCATAGCAACATCTCCTGTCGCGACAACGCAGACGGCCAGGCGCGTTAGCATACAACCCATTCCGCGACGAGCCGTCGGTCCCGGCCCCAAGAGCCCACCCACGAAAAGCCCCGGCGCATTCTCGCCTCTAGGCTCAGCCGACCCGTACTTTGGAGGCTTCCCCAAGAGCTCAAATGAGTCCACACCCGATCTGCGACGAGACAGGTTCAGCCCCGACGTTGGCAGAGCGAGCCCCGACGTCGGCACATACGAAGAGTTTCGGCACGGCATACTCAAGAACGCAAAGCAAAGCAACAGCAGCATAAATGAATACGAAACATACATACACTCCGCTGATACCGATGGACTCCGAGGTGGCGGCGCCGCTCCCTCGATCAAGTCGGCATACGAAAATGACTTTCGCCCAACTCATGAATGCGCGACTACAAGAGACTTTTACCACCCACGCTTTACCTGGCTCAATCTGTCTTTGATCGTCATATCCTTGTTCTCGTGCTTGTTCTCAGGCATCTTCTTGGCCCTGGCTATCCGTGCCCCTCATTATGGGCGGCGCATTACTAGCCATGGGCCTATTACACCAGCTGATGCTATTTTGCTTACGACGGTCATGGCGAAGCTTATTGAGCTGTCTTTTGTGACGGCTTTTGTGGCTTTCCTTGGGCAGGTACTTAGTCGGAGGGCGTTTATGAAGGATCATGGGAGGGGGGTCACGCTGTCGGAACTTAGTATGTGGAGGTGGGTTGTTCAACCAGGTAAGCAGATGTCTTGTGTGGATCGTTTGTGAGGCGTGTTCTGACCTTTTTGTGATAGGCACTTTGATCACCCACTGGGAGACTGCAAAGTATGCTGGACTGTCTTTTCTGGGCATACTGAGTTTGCTGAGCGCTGTTCTGGCGACGCTTTACTCATCTGCAGCTGCCGCTACTGTTCAGCCTATGCTAAGAGATGGTAATTGGGATAACGGCCTGGTCCTGGCTGGTCGTGTCAAGAGCGACTTCGCAAACATCAATTATCTCAAGGAAATGTGCCAGACACCGATTCGAACCGACAAGAATGCCCAAGGAGAAACATGCTTACAAATGGAACACGCTGGCCAAGGATACCACAATTTCCAGCGCTACCTCTCAGATTGGGATCTGTCAGCCAGGAACGGCAACGGCACTTCAATCCAAAAGTTACGACCCCAAGGCTTTGGGCTTCTGTACGAAAACACTACGGTCACTGGGCAATGGATCGACATCGTCAACACTACTGAGACGTCCCAGAAGCACGGTAGAGTTATCAACAACGTGACAATGGCTATGCCCCACTCGGGCGTCTTCGCTGCTGCCCGCGACCAAAGAAATGGAATCCTGCAGCCTGAGGAGCTAAACTCCGAAGGAACGTACTCGTTGCGCGCTTCGGTGCCATCACCAGTGTTGAACGTATTATGCGTAAACATGAACAAGACAGAGCTAGAACCCATCGTATACACCGCCTGGCCTAATGATGATGAGGTCGATCTTCTTTCTTGGGGAAACGTTCCCGGTATCAGGGACAACGCGACCACAACCAACAAGACTGTGGTGGATGAGATCTTCGGCTGGGATGTTAACGACACAACAACCACGAAGAATTGGCCGCCTGTCTTCGGCAAATACCCCTTGCCTTTCAACACAATCATGAACCACACTAGCTTTGCCTGGGGACGATCCGCAATTTATCTGCTAGGACAAGGAGGACCAGATGATGTTGGCATGGATGGAACGGGCATCTTCTCGCTATGCAAATTACATCTTACAGTTAGACCGGGATGCAGTACACGACATAACGTTACCGGCTCGGGCGCCACTATGGAAGCACTTTGCGAAGATCCCAACGACAAAAAGGCCTTCGTCGAGACAGGAGACGAAGTCAGCGTCAATACAAAGGGCGTGGCTAATTGGCGCGACATAGGTACTGACTGGTCCAACAGTCTGTCACTCGGCACTGGCCTCATGGATGCAAATGCGAGTACATCCAGACTATTGACACAGCTGGTGTTGAAGCCTACCAACCCGGATCCAGAAAACCTTCAGGTCGACCTAAGCAATGCCATACCCAGCTTAGGGGAGGCTCTTGCTGTTTTGGCGGGGTGTACTCTGCTGTTGAGTATGGTGGATACGCCTTTTGTGACATTCTGGGTATGCATCTCTTTGTCTCCTGCTATTGGCGTCTCGCCGCTTCCTACACTCGACAAGCGAACTCGCTGACCCAAACCACAGAACTATTCCCACCCTATGCTCGACGAGTACCAAACGCAATACTTCAACGCCTCGCTCAAAGCCCAACAATATGCATCCGGGGGCATGCCCGGCGCTTCCAAAGCATGGGTACTCATACTTGCTCTCGTCTTCGCCATGAACGTCTTCGTCCTCATCTACTTCATCTTCCACCGCGGCCTGGTAACGGACTTTTGCGAACCGCCAAACCTCTTCGCCCTCGCCGTCAACTCGCCCCCGTCGCACGTCCTCGCCGGATCTTGTGGCGGCGGCCCAGAAGGCAAACAATACATGGTAAACTGGTTCGTAAACCACGAGGGCAACCACTTATACATGGAGCCTGGAGAGAAATCGCATCTCCTCGGTAGCCACGGCCACGGCCAGCCGCACGTACACATGCATGCCCATACCCACGGACCGATACACGAAGCTTCACCAAGAGAAGTCAAAGGTGTTAACGGCTTCTTCGCCCAGATAGCCGAAACGGTCAAACGCAGATTCAGTATGAGAGAACGTTCTGCACCGACAAAACTACGGCCTGCTAGTGGAGTGGAGAGTCTCAGACCACCTGTGACTGTTAGGCCGGGTAGTATAGCGTCGGATTATGAAATGGAGGATGGGCAGACGAGGACGTCGAGGCAGTATCAGAAGTTGGCGAAGAGGAGGAGTATGCTTTGAGCTTTTTTGGCTTGAGTGGAGATGAATTGGTGTGGCTATGTAATGTTTATATGTAATGAATGTTTAGACGATGCTCACGTCTACCATCTAATGACGTGATCTCCGCCCTCTCTTGTGTGTATTGCTGTCACTTCCTTCCGTCACATTGGTTATCTAAAACCTTAGCCCTGTGTAGTTTAGCGAAGTTGTAACGGTATTCGAGTAAGGTGGGCGTACGCTGGGCGCTCCTCCATCTCCCGGTTGACCATCACCGTCTACTCTTGGCTGTTACCATTTAGTACTATGCATTGAGGCTTCGACTAGCCTTTGCAGACCTTGTAACCTCCGTCCCCAGGCGCCGGATCAGTACGTATTGCCTTTGGCTATCGATCTTCAGTTTCGTGTCGTGAAAGCACGATTGAGTGTGGGCGAACCCTATACCCTCCATCGATAGGTTGGGTCTCTCCTGGTTGTTTCGGCTATAGCTGGTCAGAATTGCATCTTCCGGAGAACATCTGATGTTGTAGTAGCCTAGCATCAAGCCCCACGACATTGGTTGGCCCATACGGGTGATAAAGCGAATCATGCGTACCCTTCTCTCGTAGGAAGCCATGTTAGAGCTGCTAGCGCACTAAAGTGCAGAGGTGACGATGCCTGAAAGAACGTTGGGGATAAGTGTTGTTGAGAGATGTCAAGAACGAAGGATGCTTTGCAAAAACGAGAGATAGCACGACACTCTTATCTGGAACTCATGAGCGGGAAGCAACCTCGCGATTGAGCAGCTGACAGTATATCTACATGCACTAGTATCCAACCGAGACATTCATTATCAGCCATTCGTCCAACTTCACCGATGAGACATCCACCAGTCGACAAGGCTGGCCCTTTGCCCTATCACCGTGGCACGAAATACACATACCCCGCTCTCGTAGGCGGATCTTGCGGCCTGGATAGTACGTGAAGGCTTGAACGCTAGGATTGTAATCTATAATGCTCGAGGAAGGAGCGGTGTGGCTCCCTGTCAAAGTCTCATTCTTTGCTATCGGAGTGACGAACGGCGAAACGGTCCAATGGATGTCGAACACACCTTCCCTAGATATCACGGGAACAGATGATGTTACGCATTCTGGGATAACGGCAGACTTTGGGGCATACTTGAACACTGCGCTCGCTCATGCTGTGAGTGCGGAAAATACCCAGGAAATTAAGGCAAGGGACTATTATTTTGGATGCGACAGATGGTAGCGTTATTGAGACAGAGCGAAGTAAGGCTAGGTCAATGAGGACGACCTAAGTTTCTGGGATATAGGCTAGAGGCCTTCATGTTCGACAGAGGTCTAAGCAGAATATGTAAAATAAAAAATGATATGAAGAGGTCTATACCGCCAGGAGTCAAACGAGTGTAAAGAGATTGCCACCGGATAGGAAAGAGAAGCAAGCAATACAAGGACCTACACGCGACCTCGATAGCGATCAACGCCATCACCAACACACCAAACCCTTAATATCCGCACGCTCTCATCGCGCCGGTGGCTGTGTCCAACGCCCCAACATCTGACCAAGTGCCCAATTCCATTCATTAACGAAAGCATTCGTGAGCTGCGTGATCTGATCAGCAGAAGGGGTCTGACCCGCCCACATAGCTGGCTGAGACGCCTGGTAACGCGCATAGTACGGCAGTAGCTGACTGTCTTGAGATCAGCAAACGAAATCGCAATGTAGTGTATGTTTTGGTAGACGTACTCAGTTTGTATCTTGTTCAGAACCAACCAACACAAGTTCCATGAGCGGTTGCTTGCAGGGTCGGCGTAGACACGTCGCTTTGCTTCGTCTAGGCAGTCAGAACTACAGATGGGTTAGCACATGCTTTGGGAGGCACCGTGTACCCTTCGGGGGGTCATGATGGGCAGTTTACCTGAAAGGATAGTTCCTAGTCAATCCACGAAGTTCGGTCAACAGGCCATGCGACTCGACGTAGTACTTCCCTGATACCCACAATCAGTTTTCAATCTACATATACCAGTACTGTCGATACTTACAAGCCGCCGTCATCGGCTCACTGCAGTCCGGTGTACCGAGCTTTGCAAAAGCCTGCTCAACACGGACGAGTTCAACGATGGTGTTGAACTGGTGAGATCGAAGCGCTTGGATGTATTGTGCCTTCTCAGCCTATTGGAGTTTAGTATCCGGGAAATCGGTGTTGACGGTTATATAGCGGATTGAGACGTACGGAGGTGATCTTTCGGCTGGAAGACATGCTGGCCAACTGTGGAACCCGGTATCTACGTGGTGGTGGGTTATAGTACTCGCTGTGAATGGGATTGGTAGAAGATGTAGGATCGATGGACATGTAATAGCAATTCGAGCCCGAGCTTAACTGAATATGGGGTACCGAAGTTGATGTAGGAGGATGTATGGGAAGTACAACTTGCTGTGATGAGTCCATCGTTTGTTGAAGACAGTCAAAGTGTTATATAGAACTTTTCATTGCTGATGTTGTCGTAGGATTGGCCCTCTCAGCTACAGTTATCTCATAGCCAATGTATGTGTGGTGAGGCATCCAAGGAGGGCCACATGCAAGAAGGCTTCATGGGGATGAGTTCAGCTCTCGACGCCATATCGTCATAAGAAGTTGTAGGCTTCCCAAACAACAGTGCCAAGGGTGAAGAAGGCAGCTGTGAATTGTCGAATGCGGAAGCATCAAGTAAGATTATGAATCCTTTGAGGAACTATGAGATAACCCTCGTCCCTTTAGGCCTCCGTGCGTTCGATGTAGGTCCGATAGTGTTAGCATCGTCTTCTTGATAGGCCAGTCTGCTTGCAGCAACGGGTCTGCGACACATCAAACACAAGTGCTGTGGTCAGATTATAGGTCATGAACAAGGGCTATGTGACTTGGTCATGGCTCTCGCGGCCCGGTCGATCTGAGTCCAAGAGCCTTTGTAAAGATACTGTGATAATACCAGCCACATTCTTGATGCCGAAAGTTTGGATTGATCGCTCATTGGTCGTGTATTCATCATGTTTCAACTGTGTAAGCAACAGTGGATCGCTTAAATCCTAGCAGCGTCTTCAACACCATCATCGCCGTTGCATATTGCGGAGAATATCGTGGATCAGGTAAGTGCCATGCTGAGAACTAACGCGCAGCATGGTAGCTGAGCTCGATGTTGTCGATGTGTGGAGTGGGTAGGTAGGCGCAATCCTAACGGGGAGTGCGAAACATGTTCGGAAAGTCGACTTTCCGTTGTATATCTGGGTATCTCGACACAATGAGAAAGAAGCTAACCAGAATATGTCGTGAGGCTGAGGCTGATTCCCCATATCTGTGCTGACGATGGAAGAGTTCATGAGATCCGGATTTGTCCGCTGTGGCTGGTTAGCTTGTGGCTGAGCATCGCACCCTCGCAAACTTCACCGCTATTACCTCGCAATCCTCACGCAATTCACGATTGCTAACAACACTGCTCCCGGATAGCTTTCATTCCGAGGGGTACCTGACAAAGCCGCTGCTGAGCAACTGCGCGTTTAGCATTCCGCGTTCCACGTTTGGAAATGTCCTTGGACGTCACGATCCCCATCTCACCAGCCACGCGCATAAGCACGACGTTGACCCTCAGTCTCGGGACCCGCGATTCTGGAAAAGGCATATCAATCTGGACAAATCTATCGCGATTGATCGAAGCCGTTGGTAGTCATCACTCAGCACACGCATATTGGCCCTTGAGGCTATAGCGGCTTGTCAGCAGCTCTACGTCAGAAAGAGCCTCAAGACACATGAACTAGTGTCTGAGTGTGCATGACTGGAAGCCGCCATGTTAAACTTCTGATGATCGACCGCTAGAAGGTATGCTTGTTGCATCTCACCTCATTCCGCAGGGCTGCTTTGCAGCTACCACAAGACTCAGAGTTGGGAAACCATATGCTCCAATGGAAGAAGGTCAAACTGCCAAGTGGTAGATGCAGTCGCTCGTCTGGCCCCATGAATATTTCAGCTGCGTTGTGCCAGCCCCCGTTCTGCCATTGCTTAGAGTTTCCATTCTATCTTGCGACTGGAAGGTTTCTAGACTGGTTAGCTTCTGATCACTAACGCATGTCGACAAGGTAGCAATCATTGGGCACCAATGCTTTCGAATGGACCGGACGGCCACCGATGATTCGTAAAGATTCATGTTGATAGATTCTTTTACATGAGCAGGCAGAAGTCTCTCGACTCCGCAGTGCGTTTGAAGTCGTCATCCACCTTTTACACCCAGACACCTAGACCCGAGTGGTCTATATGCTCAGCGCCATGATGGAGTTTACGATGTCGTTGTCGTTCTCCTTGAGGGCCTTGACGGCCTTCTTCCGCGAGACGCTGGCCTGCTGCATGACGAGCTCGATGTCCTTGGCCTCAAGACCAGAGTCGTCGATCTCCTCATCGTCGTCCTCCTCTTCCTCCTCGTCCTTCTTGTCCTCGACAGCCTTGGCCTTGCCCTTGCCGGAGTCGTCGCCGTGGTCATGACCGGCGTGGTCGTGGGGCGCGGACTCGCCCTGAGCGAGCTGCTGGGCGGCGGAGGCCTGGGCCTGGGCGTTCAAGTCCTCGATCTTGGCCTCACCGAAGATGCTGGTGCGGGGTCAGCAGGCGGCTTGTGCTATTGAGGGGCAGCGACTCACATCCAGGTGTTGCTTGAGGGCGACTTGTAGACGTCCGGCTGGTTGATAACAAATAGAACCTGGTAGGTGTGTTAGCCTAATACCCTGCACTGTGTCTATGGTCTGCCCGCATCTCGTGTTTGTTGACTGCAGCTCCCCCACCAATTGCGCGGAAAGCACTCACGTTCTTCGGTCGGCGGAGGGTGACGCGTGTGATGCCGTCGATGTGCTTCAGGCCGAGCTTGGCAATGGCCTTGCGAGCCTTCTTCTCGTTGCGGGAGTGGACGGCGACGGAAGAGCCCGCGGGCACGTTGACCTCGCCCTCCTCGTTCTCAGACTCGTCGCTGGACTCATCCTCCTCGATCTGGACGTTCTTCTTCTCGGGCTCGTCGGGGAGCTCTTCAATGCGGGGGTTGGCCATTTTGTCGGTTTGTGGGTGACGGCAGGTGGTGGTGGTGCTGCAATATCGAGCGTCGCGGAGTTGGGGTCGGAGCTTCCAAAAATGATTTGTGGGCGGTTTAGCGCGGGCAGCTCTCGCAATTGGCAATGACGCCCATCACAAGCAACAATTACTCTCACAGCCTATGTCGCGCAATTCACAAGGACGGGCATTTCAAAGGGGGTATCAAATTGCAATTCTAGTTGCACTGTTCGTGTGTGTTCATGAATTTGTGGATTGAACTCTCTTGCTACATGTGGAATGCATGCGAGAGCCGAGTAAACCGTTCCCAAACCGAATTGCACCGTGCCAAACATTGGACTTATTCGCCCTTAACCAGGCCTTGAATTTTTGAATGCCTTTGAGGTCGCCTTCGGAATGCTCATGAAATGCACGTCATGCCTCTATGCCACCTGCATGCAGCGATCACCACAACGCCTGTCTCCCGACAGCATCGAGACTACCTATGCCTTTGCGCTGGCGCGGATCTTGGCGAAGGTCTTCTGAACCTCGAAACGAGCCTGTGTTGCTGTTAGTCCGTGTTCCCAATTCGCATCTGGTGCACCGCGTCCAGTCCGAGCGGTCGCATTCGACGACACAGGTGCAAGGCAAAACGTACCTGCTTCCTCATCTTCATGACCTTGAAGCGCTCAAAGTCATTGAGTCCCCGCCTCTTCTGGATAGCCGCACGCTTCTGGGCCCATGAGCTCTCGTCGAACTTTTGCTGGACCTTGTGCTCCTCCCACTTCTTCGCGACGTGACCGTTACCCGAGGCACGGGGAAGCTTGGGGATGACGATGGGTGTAAGGGAGAGTTTCGCAAGCGCGACTTCCTGGCGAGGGACAGGGGCCTTCTCGGAGGGACCTTGGAGGAGGACCTATGTCTGTGTGAGCCGCTGAACAGCACCCGGATCGCGAATTTCCCATACACGCTTGTGGTCGATGATCTCGACGATGACAGCGAGGCGGCCCTCGAATGCACCCTCGTTGAAGAGGACCACGCGGCCGACCTCTACCAGCCTCCAGGCACTCGTTGTAATTTCGGCGTCACCCATTTCGTCGATATGTGCTGCAGGAGAATGTTAGACGGAGAGACACGTGGAGTATTGCTGCGTCGAAAGCGTACCGGTCGGAAATAGGAGTCGGTGTTGATGTTCTTGTCGGGAGTAAGTAATGTCGGTCGGTGGAGGTTCGAAATTCAGTGTGAGCCCGGGGCCGTGCACAAGCGAAAGGCGCCTTGGCGCTAGCGCCGTCCTTAAAGTTTTCTGCGACCGCGCGACTTCCATCATCTCCTCCAGCACCGCAGGCACCGCAGAAGCACCACACTCAACTCGACAGCCGTCGCGACTTTATGCAGTCGTCGACGTGGCTATCACGATCACTTCACCTCGCACTATGCGCTCTGCAGGTGCAGACACGACGGACGCGACATGCGCCGAGCTAAACTACTCCAAAGACCCATAGCTACGACCCAACACCCATAGCTCCACTGGTATGTCTCTCACCTCCACACTCCTCCCCCATCCTAGGATGACATAATTTGCGATTGAGCTCGGCGTCGGAGACCCTCGCCGGGGTCTCTTAACGGCGTCGAAGTCATGACATTCAATTTCTTACATATTCTGAGCTTGCTTTACCCATTCAGCTTCACCACCGCACAGAGTTCGCGACAAACGCTGACCAAAACAGACGCTTAGATACCCAGTCAACAGATAGTTGACATGCAACGTCGCTGTGAGCCTGCTCATTGCAAACCCATGTCGACATGCGACTGCAGTGCCGTCACTGCACATGGCTATCATATACAGGTCAGTTCTTATTCTTTAACCTCACCGCCCCCACTCCCAATGATTACAACATGCAATAGATAGTATATGATTTCTATGATTACTATTTTATCACCAAGATCACTGAAGGGACTCACAAACACGCTCTGCTTGATAACGCTTTGTGTCAATACAAGTCACTAACAAGCCTGC